CACCCCCACAAAGCCATGGGAACTAGGCTATGAAGTCCACCCTGTTATTATTTTAAACAAGAAGTCTGGTGCACGAAACTCATGCACTCAGGGGGCAGGGGGTCCCTCAGCCTGGCCTGTGCCTTCTCACAGTGCGGAAGCCTCATGATTGATTGCCCCAAAGAGGTAAGTCAGAGCTGCCAGGACTCCCAGGCCTCACTGCACGGAGCTGCTGGGACCCGGCTCCACACCACGCATGCAGCATCAAGTCCCCACCCACCCACGCGCGCCCGCTGTGCACGCAGCCTCCTGGTGATGGATTATGATGGCATGAGGGCATCACGGCATGATGGCGAGAGGGTGTGATGACCATTTGCATATTAGCTCTTTATTATATAGGATAGCAAACCTGACCTGCTTGGATGGGGGTGATGGGAGGAGATGGACAGAGGGCTTCCTGCAGGCCCACCAGGACCTGGTGGTACCTCCTGATCAGGAGCTGCCCTGGCAGCTTGTCCTGACGGCTGGGGTTTGTCCTCTGGGGTCTAGTTGGGGGCCTGGCTCCTCCTGCTGCAGCCCAGCCTTTGATGTTACCTCACCCACCGCCTTCTCCAGGGGCCAGCCTGCTGCTGTCAGCCCTCCTTCCCCGCTGATTGTGGTGACCCTTTGCCCTGGGTTTCCCAGAAGTCCAGTTTCATTATTTCCTTAATAAAGGAGATTGTAAAACGCACCTCAGTAAGGTATATGAGAATTTTCACGTAAGTAAATTCATACACCAGGAAACTTACAGACTCTCCCCTAGAGGTGGTGTCTGAACGGCTCACCTGCCCTGGAACCTGACCTTCGCCTTGTTGAATCTGCCCCGTCGGAGAGGCCTTCCTTGAAGGCTCTTCAGCTGCCCCCCTGCAGCACCCCTGCTGCACCACCATCTGTGTGAAAGTAGCCGGTCTGCTTGTTGATTTCTGAGGGCACTACCCAGTGGGAACTCGAGGGCAGAGGCATGGCTTGTCACATTCTGGGCCTATCCCGACACCTAGACCAGCACCTGGCACACGCCAGGTGGTCATGAGCTGGTTGCATTTCCCTGATTTCTAGCGCTGGCCTCATGTTCTGGCCCATCGCTCTCAGCCAGAAACCGGGGAATTCCAAGCACCTTATTGGAAACATTCCAAGTCAACGGCTGAGTTTCCCCATCTAAATGGTCATTATAAGGAACCATAGCTCTCCATTCCTATGGCAGATGGAACAGAGGGCCTGGGACCCCAGGGGGCTCTGTCAGGGGCAGCGGCTGGGAGGATGGTGGCAGCACTCCACACCCCGCACAGACGGCAGCAGTCCTTTGAGCCTTAGTCCTCTCCCAGGCCTGAGCTGAGCTGGTCCCCTCAGGGGTGCTCTCAAGGGGCTAGTCCTCAGCTCCCCGGGTCAGCGAGTTCCCAGGATGTGACAGGTCATAGCTGGCCCCAGGCTTCTCCTGGAATTTCCCTTTTTCTGGAAGGAGGGTGAGGTCAGGTTTTCTTTCATTTTAAAGGAATAAGGGGACCCAGCCTGCGGAGCTATCGAGATTTCGGGGAGTTCAGAGTTCCAGTCACCAGGGGAGCTGGGTGTGTCTTCACAGGTGTCCCTGGACCGGCCATCATGGCCAGTAGCATTTCTCCCACAGGTGGCGCCTCTGGCCTCAGCTTGGCTGGAAGGCTCTCCTCTCTTGCAGCCAGAAGAGGTCACTCTGTGTCAAGCCTGTTGTGGAGCCTGATCTGAGCATTGACGCAGCTGTGTACGCTCGCCAAGCGACCTTGTGTCAGCCTGCTCTCCTGGCTTACAGCCACTTGGCTGCTGTCATATCCTCTGCAGAACCTTGGCCTCCCTTCCGGCAACCAACAGGGCACCTGACACACCATGGGGCTTGGTAAACGTTTGCTCCATTGCACTCTATGGCTCTGTGCACTTTTTCCAGCAATATTCCCCCAATCCTTTTACTTAGGTCTGCCGCCCCCCTTCCATTGCAAATAGCACACCCTAGGGCTTGTCACAGCACATGCTGTGATTAGGTCAGGCTTTTGGAACTGATGTCTGGTGAGTCACCTGAGGGTGATGACCCAGCAGTCCCTCACTCCTGTGACAGAAAGCCAAGCAGGGCCCATGGGCTCTTGGCCCCCATCTCTCACTCTGCTGGGTGCACACTGGCCGTCAGGGTGATCCCTTCTCCAAAAGTGTCCCTCGTCCCTGTTATAACCTGCTCTCTCAATTGGCTCAAAGCTGAGTGTGTGTGTGTGTGTGTGTGTGTGTGTGTGTGTGTATTTTAGTGGGCCTTGTACCCTAGCTCCAACCCTGTGCCCACCCATCAGATGACCCCTCCCCCACATACCCAAGCCTCATTAACTTAAGACAGGACTTCCTAGTCTTGTCACAGCGTGGCTCAGAAGGGTGTCACTCTGGGGTAAAAGGGGTGATGCCACTATGGCCGGAGAACAGCCTGGCAGCCCAGCTGCCCCCTGAAAGACCCCAGGGCTAAGAACATCAGACTGTCCTCTTGCTCAGACCCTCCCCAATTAGACCTTCTGAGTGACGATGGACCCTCCCTCTTGCAGAACAAAAGAAACACAACCGACAATTTGCTCAAGTGACATATTTCAATATAATCTCTAAAACTCTATGAATTGAACAGATAAAATACCTCTGGGCTATTTTGTTACAAAATATTTGCCATTTGGATTAGTCGCTGGGTGCAGCCACCCTGCCTTCCCTAGAGAGGTTTCTCTCCAACAGGGTGAGGGGTGCCTGCGGGGAGGGGGTGCAGCAGGAAGGTACGCACAGCAGAACACAGGGCAGACAGACAGGTGGTTATCAGAGCAGCTATCGGGTACAAGAGACGTTCTGGCAGGCTACAGGGGATAGGTGGGGTGGGGTGGGGTCAAGGGCCCGGGCTGATAGACATGTGTGCCTTTGGACACAAGCAGGCAGGCTTCCAGCTCAAGCTGCCCGGGCAGGTCTCGCTCCAGGTTTGGAGATGGGACTTACCCAAGAGTGGGTGGGAAAGCTCATCTCATCTCCACTCCTGATTCTGGAGCTGGAGCCAAATGGATAAAATTGAGAAAGGGGCTCAGGTCCCCCAAAGTAAGGCCTAGAGAGTTGATAGAGTGGGGCCATGTTGGGGTTGTGTCCGGGGCTCAGTCAGCACTCCAGTGCCCTCAGCCTTGGGAGAGCAGGGGGCCCCATGAGCATCTCCAGCAGGGCCTCTGCAAGGGCAGGAGGCTTGTCCAAGGTTTCTAGGGCTAGGCTCTGGGGGCGGGGATGAGGGGGTCCCAGCCTTAGCCTGCTGGCAGGAGAGGGGCGGGAGGATGCAGACACTGGGAACTGTTGCTTCCCTAACAGGAGGAGGGCCAACTGTCCCTTGCCCAGGCTACTGGGATGAAAAGCCTCACAGCTCAGGCTTGGCTCTTGTGCTGCAGAGCCCAGGCTGGTCTGCTTCCCGGGCTGGGACTCCCAGTGCTGCCAGGGTCCCAGGGAAGCCACCGCAGTGCCCGGGGGCAAGCCCCAGTCCCCGAGCATCCGGGTCCTCAGGGAAGGCTCTGTGTGCTCCATCCCCAAGACCTCTGAGATTCTGTTTGCAGTCAGGGCTGCAGCAGAGGTGGGAGGAAGGGGCCAGGGCTGCCACGCCCACCGGCAGGGAGGAGAGCACTTTTCAATGAGAAGCACTATGTGGGCGGTGACAAGGGGCCTGATGGTAGGGGCTGCTGCTTCCTCACCAGCCCCTGGCATTCATGGTCCCCATCCCATAATCAGGTTTGGCCACCTCAACCCACCACCCCTTCCTTCATAACTCATACTCCCCGCTGCCCACCCATTAACTTCCACTCTATTTCCAGGCCCCCTTATTCAAGATTCATTCACTCCCACCCCAACTCTGCTCCTCTTCCCGCTCGCACTCTATGGGCGATCCCTGCCTTGGCCACGGGCATCAGAAATGTAGTTTGTGGCTCTATCTGTCAGCCACTCTGTTCTGAAAGCCTCTTATTGGCATGTCCTTGTTACAGTAGAGACACAAGAGAGGGACCAAGACAATAAGGACAAAAGCAGCTTGGCTGGGGAGCCACACGGAGGAGACAGCAAATTGGTCACAAGTTACGGATCCCAGGATGACAAAGACAGGGCTAGAAATAAACTTGCTGGGTGACGCCATAATGACGTTTGGTGACCACACACATACAAATGAAACCAGGTCATCTGGAAGCTCTGAGCGCAGGATAAGGATCAGGGTCTCCTAGCTGGCCCAGGGCACTGCATTTGGGGTGTGAGGTAGGGTCAGGGAGAAGCACATTCACTTTAGACTGGCCCACGTTCACTTCCACCTCTGGGGACACTTTGATAATGGGCTCTAAGTAGGAGGGGAGCTCGATGAAGGACAGCAATGGAATGACGGCCCAGGATTGGAACCTGGCCTGGCTTAGACAAACACCTCCTGAAAGGGCATGACTGGGGCCCGGGTATCTTCTGAGGTCTTTGAGGGGGCTGCCCAGGCCCTGTGGGGTCACCTAAAGGTTGACTCCCCAGTGCTATTTGGCCCGGAGGGGGTTGGTGAGACCCACTTTGCGCTCTTTGCAATGTTGAGGGGACAGGGACTCTTAGTGCCCCCTGCAGGAGGTGGGCCACTTCTTGGGGGAGGTGGAGAGGCGGGAGATTTAAAGGCTGAGGGGCAAGTTTGGGATGGCAGCAGGGGGAAGGCACGTGCCTGTGGAGCACCTGCTTCTCCCGCCCACTTCTGCATCCAAATCCCTCGTGAGGCCACGGAAACCATGCAAGAGGGAGCCGTCCTCTCCAACCATCTCCTCTGGCTGCATTTGCCCCTGGGCAAACCATTGCCCCTCCTCCCTGTCTCCAATGCCACAGGGGAGGGAACTAACCACTCTACTCCCAGGCCCCCTTATTCAGGCCCCGGTGCACATTCGCGTTGGCCGGGTGTTATTTGGGGCTGGAGAACTAAAACCCTAAAAAGATTCATTTTAGATGAATGACCTCACGGTTCCACAGCCGGTTGAATTGACCTAGAGAGAGGTGAGACGGGTCCCCCTCCTCCCTCCCTCTCTCAAAGCTTTCCTGGAGTCTGCGCAGCCCTGGGCAGGCAGTGCCCAGCTCCAGAGGAAGGGCAGGCCCTGGGACGAGGGGGAGGACCTAATCAGGACAACCAACATCCTTGGGGACAGCCAGACCTCCTGCGTCTGCCAGTTGTGGGGGGCGGCAGGTGCAGCAGAAAAAGACCCCTTCTCACACTCCCACTTCCCTGGTCCCTTCAGGGATCCAGGGCCAACTCTCCTCCACTCAGTGCGGCACCTAGAGCTGAGCGGGGAGCCAGGCCACTTGCTGCCCGGTGCTGGGTGCTGGCTCCCCTTGTACCCCCCTTCCAGCCTGCAGCCTAGTACCCAACAGACTCAGACTCAGGACCCAGAAGCTGGGTAGGCCCTCAGTTCTTATCCTCCGAAGTCCATGGTCCACGTGGTGAGTGGTGGCAGGAGGAGGAGGCCTGGCCATGCAGCCATGCAGGGCCCAGGGGAGTGTGGTGGAGTCTCCAGATTGAGGGGGGGAGGGGGGTGGTGTTCAGCTGAGTATGGGATGCATGTCAGGTGAGGCAAACCCAGGTGCCAGGGATCGAGGTTCTTTTCCAAAACAATGGTGATGGTGACCAGGAACACAGCGTGCCAGGGTGTGGGGAGCAGTGAAGGGGCGGCCGGGGCTCCAGGGTACAACCCAGGGACCCTGGTGGCAGCCCCCTGGGGCAGCAGTCTGGGAAACAGTCTACACCAGGCTCCTGGAGCCACTGGAGTAGCGGCGCCGGTGCAGCAAGGAGCCTGGTGGGCAGTACTGGTGAGGGTGGTTGTAGGGGGGCGGGGGGAGCCGCAGGAGTCAGAGGAGGAAGAGGCGTAGCTGGAGAGAGCCTGGCTTAGCAGGGGCTCCATGCGGGCCAAGCAGGGCTTGTCCAGGACAATGACCTTGACAATTTGCTGACACTGCACCAGGGTCCCTGGGGGCGTGGGTGGTGATGGCGGCAACGGTGGGGGCTGCTCTCTCAAGGGGCTAGGCTGCGGGTCTGGCGGTGGCACCGCAGCTCTCCTCTGGGCCCCCAGCCCGGAGTTGTGTTGGGACGTTTGAAGCCTGTTGTGAATTGACACCTAGTTTAGAAACAGCCAGAGAAGCATGAAATGTTACAAGACTAATTCCCAGCTACTAGGACTGGCTACCCTGAGCCTCCCTTCTCCCCTTCCCTGGCTCCTGTGCCCATTAGGGCCTCTCAGCCCTCACCTTGACCCACTCCCCATCTCTCCACCAGAGGAAAACTGGCAGCCAACAGAGGTTCCATCCCTGCAGTCAAGAGACTGACGAGTTCTGCCACCGACCATGAGCAGCCTCAGTTCTCTCAGCCTCAGTCTCCACATCTGTGAGATGGGCATTTGGACTATAGACTCACTGAGGTTCTGCATAGCTCTGCAGTCTGACTTCATGGCCCTGCTGGGTGGCTTTGGGCTATGGGTAAACTCCCCACCTTCCTCTCTACCAGCTTCTGAGCTTGAAAAACTGGGGTAAGGGTCTTTGCTCCCTCCCTGCCTCCCAGGGTATGTTGAGAGCCAAGAGAGGACTCAAGGACAGGGTTAAGCATCTGAGAGTTTCCAGCCCTCTCCTTCCTCTGGCTTTGTTAGAGGGGAAGCCTCATTGTCACTGTAGACATCATGAAGGCACCCAAACCCCAGAATGCCAGGGACCCCTGAGGGGTGATCTGGAACTCTCCCCTACCCCCCGACTCCCAAGGCCATGACCACACATTCAAGAGCAGCCTAGAGAGCAAAGGCCAGAGTCTGATCCCCAGCTGCCTTTATGGCCCAACCTGGATCCTGGTTAAACTTATTCTGCTGCAGGAGGGGGTATCCAGAAAGGATTCTAATCCTTATCTCCTAGGTGGGGCATGAGGAGGTGGCCCCCTCCCTCAGGCCATGGAGGTCCCTATGAACCAGCCTGGCCTCTTCTTGCTAGCAGGGGGAGGGGAGGAAATGGGTGGCAGAGCGGCTAGAGGATTCTGGAAGGAGAGGGCTTTAATTCCTCACCCCGCAAGTCTCTAGATACTACAACCCCCTCCCGACACCTGAGCCCTTTGGGGGGGGGGCGAGCCCCTTCTCTCTGAGGATGTTTTCTACTGTCCTTGGAACCACCACCTAGGACAGCCTGTGCCAAGCCCAGGAGGATCCAGGCTACAGGGAGGGGACCTTATCCCCAGGCCTAGACCAGGAAGGCCCAGCCCAAAATGATCTCGGGCCCCTAACCAGCAGATCTTAACCCCATTTATTGGCAAAAGGTGCAATTTCAGGGATCCCCGCTTCCTGGGTCCCCTCTCCCAGTGGCCTGTGTCCCTCTCCACAGCTCCCGAGCCCCATCTGCCTGCCCTTCCATAGTCACAAGCCCCCAGCCATGCTCAGCATGTGGCAGTCTTTACTCTTCATTCTCAACCTCCAGCCTTGGCAGCACTTCCCAGGCCTGAGATTCCCCCAAACTAATGAAGGGGTTCCTGAGCCCTGCACTGCCCTGCCAAGGCACAGGGTGGGCAGAGAGCGTGGCTGGGCCACTTCCCTCCTGGGGAGCCCTCTGTGGCCCTCACTTGGACAGAAGGCCTCTGTCCACTGCTAATGAGGGCAGGGCGGGGGGTGGCAGGGACAAGCTCCCTTCCCCACCTGCTCATATTCTGACCTATTTCCCAGGAGAAAAGTGGCCAAGACAGCAGGGGCAGGCTTGTGTCCCTTCTGTTCCCCCCACCCCCCAAGACTCTATGGCTGCCCCTCCCCAGGCAAATGCCTAGCTGCCCAGTCCACACTCGCCGAGCCCTCTTCCTCCCCCTCCCCAGCTGCCCCCATGTAGCCCACAGCTCTGGACCTCATTCTGCCCCTCCTCTTCACCTCCCCTTTCTGATCCCACCTCCACTGTCTCACCTCCCTCCTCCCCGCCCCAGCCTGATCCCTTATCTTTAATAGTAAGTGAAAAGCAGGAAGTGACAGCAAAATATTTTCTCATTCTGACCCCCTGCTGAAGAAAGAAAGGAGAGAGAGAGAGAGAGGGAGAGAGAGAGAGAGAGAGAGAGAGAGAGAGAGAGAGATTGATTGAGGATGGAACATGAGTAGCAGCTCGAAGATGGAGAAGCGCCTGCCAGAGGGGCTTGGCCAGGCAATGGGGAAATGACAGAGAGAGGGCAGAGGACAAGGGAACTCAGGGTCCAGCTGAGAGGGTGGGGCAGCGAGGCTGCCCTCTGTGCGGGAACAGAGGCTGGCAGGGCCCTGGGGCTAGCTGGGGTGGCAGCCTTGCAGATAGCCACATGGCCCTCTGGGGAGGGCTGGAGGGGAGAACGGGCCATCAGAGTGCTTGTCCTCCCTGTGCAGGTCCGGCTAAGGTGCGGGCAGGGCTGGCAGAACAAACCCGAGGGCTGGTAACTTGGTGTGTTTATCTGCAAGGCTAGAGAATGGGCAGCTGCAGGAAGATGGGGAGCGGAGGGGGCAGGGGATGGAATACCCACCCTGGGGGCTTGTCAGCTGCTGGGGCAGGAAGCTCCTCGGTGTAAAGGTGCCTCCTCCAGACACAGGTGTGTGGGAGATGGGGGCCGTGGGGAGCGAGAAGAAACTGGGCTCCCCTGGGTATCCTGGGGCTTCCCTGAGCTTAGTCAGGCTGATAGGTGGCAGGGCTGCTCCCCCAGATCTCTACGTGGGGGCTCCTCCAGCTTGGGTGTGGGGGGCGGTGGGAAAGGAGGTGTCTGTGTGAGCAGCTAGTGGTCCCTGGAGGCTTGGCAGAACAGGAGTGAGGAGGCTCATTGGGGTTTGAGGGGAGCCAGTGCAGGAGGACAGGGGCCCAGCAAGGCTCGCAGGGCAAACAGGGGACGCTCTTGGTGCCTGGGAAGGAGTGGCTGCTGTGGCTACTCTCCAGTCCTTCCCATGTGGTTTGAGGATGGGCTTCCCTCTCACATGGACAGTCTTCAGAGAGATCAGCTCTCCCCGCAAAAACCCCTAAGACAACCGCAATCTATTCTGCTTCATTCTCCTGCACACACCCTGCCCTGTGGCCCACTTTCCAGATGGACCAGCTGTTCCAGGGAGAAGCTCTGTCCTCCAGCTTCTCCAAGAGGTACCAGAGGGCAGGGTCCAAGAGGCATGGGGTGGGGGGGTAAGAATATTAGGTTCTCTGATACAGCAGGTGTTAGGGGGTCGGTGAGCAGTGTGCTGGTGGCGTGGGCTTCGGGGGGGGGGGGAGAGGGCTTCATCTGTAAGGTGTTAGTCAGGGCCTGGGAGGGCAATCAGATGGCCAGGCTGGGGTTGGGAGGAAGTGCTGCAGCTTAACTAGGCGCTGAACAGTGGCATTACCCATGCTAGCAGTAACTTTTAATTGTATCTCTTGAAATTGGTAAAATGGTGAGTCGGGCTGGGGAGGCATTGATTAATACCTGAGAAGAGAAACAACAGAGACAGTGAGAAGGACAAGCGGGGGCACAGAACCACTCACCGGGGCAACCAGGCCTCCACTCACCTCCACCGTGCTCTCCGAAGGCCTCTCGCCCAGCGCAGCTTCCCTTTTGGCTTTGAATGCAAAGAGCACAGGGCTCATTCTCCACCCTCCCGATACAAACCCCTACCCCCTCCGACCCCTCAAACTGAGCATGCCTACAACAAGAGGGCGTGGCTGGTGAGACCCTGGGTGCCACGCCACTCCTGAGATGCAGCCAGGGCAGTGGACTGGCAGGGGAGCCCAGCTGTGTGACCTGGGCAAGATGTCACACCTCTCTGAGCCTCCACAGACCAGAAGACCTCTGAGATTCTGTCTAACCTGGCCATTGTGGAGCCTTCCCGACATGGACTGTGCAGGCTGGTTATGAGCTGGTGTTGGTTCTTGGATCCCAGAAACACAAGGAGGCTCTACTGGGCATTTGTGGGCACCACGTTCGCCAGCCTCCTTCAAACACAGGCTCCTTTGTATGAGGAGGGGCCAAGTTCCTTTTCTGTTCCCATCCCCGCTGCTTGGCCCACTGGTGGGGATTCAGTGAAGTGAGGCTTCCAAGCACCCACCACAGGGCCTGGCATGGGAGAGCCCGTGATGGCTCTGTAATTGCTACAATGGTGGACTGACTGGCCTGGCGCCGCACCAGAGACCCTGTGGACCCCCAGGGACAACTTGATGACTTTTTCTGGTTCAGTCATCTTCCTGCCCTCCCCATCCCACCCAGCAGGCATTCCAGGGCTCCTCTGCCAGAACCCCTCTTATTTCTCACACCCCTGGGGTGGGGGAGGTTGTCAGCTCCCACGCTGCACTCATCCCCTGCCTTCTGTAGCACAAAAGGGAGCTGGGCCAGTGTTTGGGACCAAGAAGCACTCCATGTGGAGGCCCCTGATAGACAGGGCCTGGGGGACAGGGCCTGGGGGACAGGGCTTGTCTGACCAGGGCTGCAGCTTCAAAGAGGCAGCTGGGCTGCAGAGCGTGCAGTGGGCTGTCAGGGAGTCGATCACAGCTGCGATTCAGCTCTGGATAAACAGCTGCGGAAACAAGCAGCTGTGACCTGACAGAAAGAAAGGGGCCGGCTGAAAAGCAGGCGGGGGCGAGAGGTGGGGGAGAATCACGAATGCATGATGGCAGGTCAAACTCCAGTACAGAAGGTGACATCACAGTGAGCATCTCCATGCAGCTCAAAGAGCTCTCAGTCCTGCCTAGAAAATGAGTCACATCTCCCAGCTGGTGTGACTCGCCCTGTGAGCACGTATGTTACAGCAGCATGGCATCCTGGCCGTCACTGAGGGGTGTGGACCAGCATGGAGTTTCTAGGCTCAAGCCGACGTCTTGCTAGGACCCTGGCTTCCCAGTGCTTAACGCGGGACACGCAGCAGGCACTCATAAATGTTTGTTACACGTAAGAATAGGTGCCTGAATGAATTAATGAGCGCATAGTTCTGGGTAGTTTGCTGGGGGTTTGATGTGATGGGGTTTAATTCTCATGCCACCTCTTCTAATTCTTTTTCATTTGGGACTGTGAAGGTGGAGTAAGTCTTCCCTGAAGGTGGGAGTGAGGGGAGAGCAAGATGTAGGTGGGTAGAGGTGTCAGTGGGAGGAAGGAAGCAGACCTAGGAGCATGGCCAATGGGGGTATAAAGCCGAGAGCTGGCTTCATTTGTGTGGAGTGAATAATTCAACACCCCATGAACCAGCAGTCTTCCAAGAGCCTGGGCGTGTGAGGGCAGAAGGTGTCCTCACTAGGGCCAGGGTTATCAGGGCTCGGGCCCGACTCCCCATGGTGGGCAGCAGGTGGACACCGGGCCCTGGGGCAGTCTCTCTCCTTCCTCCTCACTCCCACTATGAAGGCCCCATGAGAGGAAGCCTGGAGCTCCTAAGCAGGGAGAAATGGCCATGGAAATGAGCACTTCCCTCATCCCCAATCCTCAGGAACCCACACCCAGGGGCGGTAAGTGGCCTCCATGCCCTCCCTGGCCCAGCCATCCAGGCCTGGGATCTGAAACTCCAGAGCAGGGCCAAGGCTCACCTGTAGGCGATCCCTGCTTCAACTGCGGATCCACCTGGGCTCCTCCAGACTTGAAGGAGCGTGTTTTTGCTCCCTGCTGCTTCTCCAGCTCCCCTAGGGAATGAAGAGGCTCATGAACAGAGAGAAACCCTAACCTCAACCACAAGAAAAAAACAACGAAGAAGCAGAGAGAGCAGGATGAGAACGAATCCTTGACACATGCTATAAAAGGTGGGCCTCAGGGTCTGGCACCCCACTTCACGGCAATTACTACCCTCTGGAGCCTCAGTTTCTTCATCTATATATGGGGATGAAATATCTGCTTGACTGTAGAAGAGGTTAAGAAGAGGAAGGTGGGCTGTGTGGGTTTGAATCCTGGTTCTGATACATCCTGTATCACTTTAGGCAAGTTACTGAACTCCTCCATGCTTCACCTGAGGGATAGCAGTGCCCGGTTCAAAGCATCATTAAGGGGATTTACACGAGGAAATATATTAAGGCACTTAGAACAAGACCTGGTGGTGGCAAGTGCTCAATAAATATCTTTCATTACAATGTGTAAGATCACTTGGCACAGCAGACTTTGGTGACGTCTAGCCTGCCCGCCATGCTCCCCAGGGCTCTGAGCCCCCAGCCTGCGGCGCTTCCTGAGTCTCCCCAGGAGAGACCCACATGCCTGGGGAGGGGGGGGGTCTGTCAGTGCTGCACAGCCCGCATGGCCAGGGCGTCTGTCTTGGTACTCAACTGAGTCTTGGTATTCAATTTCAATTTTTCTCTCTAGACTGTAAACCTGTTCCTCCTTGTTCTCTGGGTGCTGCTAGAGAACTGCCAGTTACCATCCTTGGAGACTTGACAGTCATTATTAAATCACTCCAGCTTCTCTCTTCCAGGAGACATAACTCAAGTTTCTTTTATTAAAACTATTCTCCTGGGTCCCATTTCCTGTCTCTCTGGTTGTCTATAATCCAGGGACACAGACTGCAAGCCCCGAACCAAAACCATTTGTCCTGATTGCCTGAATCACAGCATCAATCAATACAAACTACTGTTACTGAACTGAGCTTCGTTCCTCTCCCCACAGAGGGGCTTTCTTAGCTTTGGGGAAATTGGTGCTCAGTAAGCAGTAGCTGTGGCTGATTTTCATTTCCTCCTTTTTCCTTGACTCCCTGCCTCCCTGCCCAGCCCTGCATCTTCCCCCAACTCGCCTTTCATTTCTCCTCATCTGAAGAATCAGAGCTAGATGTCTCTCCTTAAGTCCCTTCCCTCTACACAGCAGGAGAGGATATTCAGCTCCTGGCATACAGATTCTGGCGATGTCTACGCCTTTGTACTCTGGGGAGATACACGATGGGCTGCTCGCAGGCAGATGGGAAAAGGTGCCCCTCCCAGCAAAGCTGGTGCCCATGGGCCCACTGTGGCTCCTCAGGGCTGTGTGGAGTCACCTGTGACATTTTGATGATGAGAGAAGTGAAGCCATTTCAGGGTGTGTCCTCGAGAATGTTCAAGATCAATGGCCGAAGTAGCATCTCTGAACATGCAGCCCAGACCTCTTTAAAGAGTCTGTTGGTTATAGTGTGAGCTCCAGCATTTGCAATGGAGTGCCAAAAGGGAATTTACACACCCTCCCTCCACCCAGTGACTCCAGTTATATAGTCTGGTCTAGTGCGGTTTTTTTGTTTTACCTTGATTTAGTTATGGTTGTTTTCTTAGGAAATTGTCAACAAAACCTCTGTTCTCCCTCCCAGAGTGGAAAGTACCTCAAAATCAGACAAACACAAATTCCAGCTCCTCTGCTTTTAATATGCATGACCTTGGACATATCCCCTCAATGTCTCTGTCTTAGGCAAATGGGGACAATGCACCCACTGCGCAGCATCCATGTGAGGATTAGTGGAACATAAGAAACTGCCTGGCACATAGTAGGTGATCCCAAACACTGATTAAAAAGCAATACTATGTAATACAGCTCTGGCTTAACTCCCACTGCCTCTCCTGTTGTGTAGATTTTATGATTTTATTTCAATCCTCACTAGAGGATATGTTTATTGATTTTGTGAGAGAGTGAGAGGGAGAGAGGGAGAGAGAGAGAGAGAGAGAGAGGAGAAACATTGATTGGTTGCCTCCCTTAATAGTGATTGAACCCACAACCTAGGAATGTGCCCTGACTGGGAATCAAACCTGCAACCTTTTGGTGTATGGGACGGTGTTCCACCCAACTGAGTTACCAAGCTAGGGTAGATTTTTATGATTTTAGAAATACTTTTCAACTAAGTGGCTGTATAAGGCAGACCTGAAGTTTAGTTTTATTTTGTTTTACTTTCTGAATCCATTCTTGTCTGAAAGGCTACCTGAAGCCACAGCAGTGCTTCAACAGTAAAAGCTTGCAAACGGACACAAGTAAAAAAGCAACCAGTAAAGCAGAGTCCCATGTGTTCTAACCGCCTGAACTGGAACAGTCAAGAACCAAGGCTTTCCTTAGAGGGACAGAAAGACCAAGTGAGGGGCAGTTGGAGAACCAGCCTGGCTCTTCTAAAGCACGCCATGAAAAACTAGGTGGGACGACTATTTGAGATGAAAACAGACGAAAGAAATGAAACGACCAAATGTAGTGTGTGAACCCGGACTGGATCTAGGGGAAGAGGTTGAACAGGGAATTTGATGGGGGAGAAGCTGGGTTCTGGACCTCTTTGGTTTGCAGGTTGCCTTGGCCAGCTCGCTCAGAGTCCTGTCCAAACAGGGAGTTCTCACTTCCAAGGGGCGCATCTGCTGCCCCACCGCCTGGCCAGGCGCGCGTCACACACACACACACACACACACACACGCGCGCGCGCGCGCTCTGGCCGACCTCGCTTTACCCGAGAAGAAACAGAAGAGCAGTGCAGCCACACGGAGCCGGAGCCGTGATGTGCAGTGGGCCGGGGAGGGTTCAGGACGGCAGGAGGGGCCTTGGCTCACCCCACACTCAGTCCAAAGTGGGGGAAGGAGGCAGAGCATGTCTGTCTCCAAGCCCACTCTGTCCCTTGCGGACTGGGACCTGGCCCGCCCTCCCTGCCGACTACCTCAGAAAGCCTGGGTTGACTGTGTCCTTACACTCTCTCCGGATCTGCTCCAGTTCCGTCACCTCCGCAATGGACTCCTTCAGGTCCTCCACAAACTTCTGCATCTCGTCTGAGCCCAGGGCACAGAAATGCAGCACCTGCTTCTTCTCAGAGCCTGAGAGCGGGGTCGCCAGGGTGATGCCATGAGAGTAATCTGGAAACCAGACCCAGGCCCATGGGCCGTGAGCAGCAGTGGGCGAGGCTGGAGCCAGCCGGCATGCTTGCTCCCCGCCCCCCTCCCCCCCGCGGCATCCCCGGGTTCCACGGAGACTCACACTCATTCTCAAAGAGGTGGAACTGCATGCCCAGCAGGCCCACCGACCGGCAGAAGGTGTATGTGGAGGAGCTCTTCTTCTTTGGGCAGAGCTTGAGGACCTGCCAGGAGAGGGAGACAGAGACGCACTGGCGGTGTCCACATGCGTGTGCCCGGATGCACGGACCCCCAGGACAGTCATGATCACACAGCAGACACACGCAAAGATACATGCACACACATACACACTTATGTACTTAGGATAGATTCACACACGTACATCTACATCTACATGCACACACACACACACATATATATCCACATATATAAACACTCCCTGCATCAAAATGTGTGTGTATGTGAGTGTGTGTGTGTGTGTGTGTGTGTGTGTGTGTGTTTACTGCATAAGACCCTACAGTAGCTATCCCCTCTGCACTTAGAAGAAGCCAAGCCACACTTCCTGCCCCACCTGATCTGGTCCCTGCCTTACTCTGGTTTATGCTCAAGCCACACTCTCGCCCTTTCTGTAGCTTGAACAGGGCAGGCTCAGTCCACCGCAGGCCCTTTGCTCATGCTATTTCCTTTCTGCAGCTCTCCCTGCAGCTGTCTGCACAGCTGGGTTACTCTCATTAGTTAGACCTGAAATGAAATGTGTCTCCTTAGAGACGCCTTCCTTGAGCATCCTACCTAAAAAACCAACATAATAAACAAAGAAGTCCACCTGAACACCGTCCTCCTGAGCCTATCACCTGTTTTATTTCTTCATAGCACCTTCCTCTCAATTTGGTATTATCTTCTTTATTTGTCTTCTTAATTATTTTTTTTTATCTCCCTTCTCTACTAAAATGAAAACTCTGTAAGCCAGTTGCTCAATACAAAAAATATTGAGCTGGACTCTGGGGACACAGGAGAATGGGAGACAGAGAGCCCTGCCCTCAGGATGCTTATCGGTGGAGGAGGATCAGCTGGGTCAATAATGCACAATAAGCAAAAAAAGGTGAAGAAATGGATAAATAATGTAATTTCAGAAACTGAGAAGTGTTTTGAAGAAAATGAAATAGAGTAAGGGTTAGATAGTGACTGGCAGGTTCCCTTGCTAGGTGGGCAGGGAGGGCCTGTGTAAGGAGGTGATGCTCAAACTGAATGCAGGGAGGGTAGTGGCACAGGTGGGGGAGGCACACATCGGGGAGGTGGGGTGAGGGGAGGAGCTTTTCAAGCAGATGGAGCAGCAAGAACAAAGGCCGGTGATGGAATGAGTCCGGCCCATGAGAGGCAGCCTGCGGGGCCCAAGGTGCCAGAGCAGCCAGGGAAGAGGGAGGGGGGCATGAGGTCAGAGGTCAGAGGTCCTGGAGGGCCGTGGGACTTCATTCTCCTGCACCAGAAGCCAGAGTCAGGTCTGAAGCATGGCAGACAGGCCTGATCTGCACTCTGGAAGGACCACTCCTGGCTGTGGCAGATGGGTCCTGCATGTGAGCATTAGATTTGGGATAGTTTTAGATTTAGTGCCAACACGACTCATGGATAGAGGGGATGTGGGGATTGAAGAAAGACAGAAACCAAATCCTGTTCACCACTGTTTGCACTTACAACAATGCCTGGCACACAGTGGGCATTCATTGAACATGTGTGGAATGGATATCTGGCTTCAAAGACCAAAGAATGAGTACCATACAGATGTAGGTGTGCGTGCACACACACACACACACACACACCAGCATCCCTTCAGACCCAGGGACAGCACATGCCCCACTGAGGTCCACCGCCCAGCACCGTACACCCTGGCTGTGGGACATGAAGTGCATCCCTTTACCCTGCCTGCCCCAGGCTTCCGCTAAATGAAGAGAAGGAGGATCACAATCTAGTTCATTTCCACTGTGACTGGGGAAATGATTTAACCTCTCGCTGCCTTGGTTTCATAACTTATAAGGTAGAAATGATCCTATCCACCTGAGCTGTCTCACACCCACAATGTGAAAACGCCATGAACAAGGTAAATTAGCCATTAAGCACACAGCACTCGGTGTGAAATCTGGGAGGCCCCGTCGGCCCCTCTCGGGGGTCCCTGCTGAGGCTGAGCAGGGCAGGGGAGCCCTGGGCCGGTCGCTCACCACCAGCAGGTCATTGAAGAGGAACACCTCCCTCTGATGTGCGGCCTGCTTCTGCAGCTTGTTCACATCTGTCACCTCAAAGAGCCGGCTGCAGCAGACCAGGCGGCGATGGGGCACTGACAGCACCTGGAGAGAGGCACGTGCTCAGCAGGAGGCGCCCAGAGCTCAGGGCCCTCCCCGCCCCACAGCACCCATTTCCCAGCAGATGGAGGGCCAGGGCTCTATTACAGGCCCGAGCTGACCCTAAACCCCCTCTCTCCTCACTGGGGTCCTTTCCCCTTCACACGTTTCTTAGGGAGCAAGGCTGGGGTGAAGGGCTCAGTATGCTGGAGTAAATGAGGATGTGAAGGGATGGGAAAGACAGTTGATAAGCGCTGTCAGACTGTTCATATCCAGTCACTGTCAACTGTTGCCCTCCAAGACCTTCTTCAGGGCACCCCATGTCCCAGGGTGTGGCCTGCAGGATAGCACCCCACCCCTTTCCACTGCACATCTAAACGCTAGTGTGCAAGAGGGAGGGGACTATAGGGACACCTTGAATCTGCTCCAGGGTGTAAAACTATCCACTCCAATGGCATCTGCAGATCAGAGAGATGCTAAAACCTCAGCATATAGGCTCTGGGAAGAATAGGGCTCTCCCTGCACAGACTGGGCAGCGGACCCAGTGCACAGCCTCACAAGGTCCCTGAAGTGCCCCCCGAGCAATCGAGGGAGGAGGAACTGGAGACAGACCTCAGAACTGACTCCATACCTTTTGTATTTATGGCAGAAAGAGCCCCCGCTGGCATGTAAGTAGAGCAGTAAACTACAGAGAACTGCAAAACCACAGCATAAAAATCACTGCAAAACCACAACATATTTCCTGTGACCCCAGGGGTTCAAGACACCACAGTCCAAAACCTACGTTAGCCTATTCTCTGTGTCTATCCAGTAGGACCAGCCAGGCATGCCCAGGATCCACCCCTTCCTAAACCTCCCTATTTAGCTATCCAGATGCTTCAACCCTAGAGCACTGGGCAGTCTGCCCCTCACCTCACCTCTGTCTCTCCTGCTGCAGCAGCTGGAGCAAAAGGCAATGACGCAAGGAAGAAAAGAGGGTGCAGTCTACGAGACACAGCAGGGACTCAGTAACTACTAAGTGCAAGAGTAAGGGAAGAGTGTTCTTGAACGGCAAGGAGGAGAATGGGAGGAGATGTCAAGAAGAAAGAAATGAGAGAAGAGGTGATGGGGGAGTTTAGCAGACACAGGAGAGGATGTGATCCCCCAGGGGTACTGTTCTACAGCAGGCACTTACTGTCTTCATGCCCACGATGGACTTCTCCACCTTGGTGACATACGTGACATGGTCCTCATTAGACTTGAGCTCTTTCTGCTGTATCCTTTCGTAGATGCCCACCACCAGCTCCCTGGGGATGTCTGCGCCATCATCCACACCTGCGGTGAGAGAAAGGAGGCGGGGAGGTGGAGAAGGGAGGCGTCAGAGGCTTGGAGCCAGAGAGGGGAAGCCCCCTTCCAGACTGACGCCCTTAAAGGGTAGCTTTGATTTTGCCCTGTCCCTGTTCCAAAGCCTTCAATGGCTGGCACCCATATGCATTACATTAAGGACAAACTCCTTAGCCAGACACCAGAACTGCTATAATACGGCCCCACATTTCCAGCCTCACCTGGAATGAGGCAATGAGGCAATGAGGCAAGGTCCTGCTGTTCCAGAACCTGCACTCCCACCTCCCAGGCCTTTTCCCTCCTCTCCAAATGCAGCCTCCCTGTTCCTGCCATGTGCCTTGCTTCTGCAGTCCACATCCCTTCCCCCATCCCACCATGAGAGCATCTTGAAGGCTAATGTTCTGTCTTGTTTCTTTTAGAATTTCCCCCCTCCTGTGCTTTCCCCTCTCTTCCAATAGGGAGAATGGTGCTCAGTGATTAGTTGTTGAATGGGTGACAAGATTCTTCCCTCATTGGGAAGGTGGAGGTAGTTAGACATTGAATGACAGAGGCAGCCCTGTGTGCAATGCAGGTAAGGAGACCCTGTGCCCATCTTCTACTTCACAGTAATGGTAAAACTCCGGTAACAAAAATTACTAACAGGAAATATATCAACATGAAAACAAATTTCTTTAGAAGCAGAAACAAAGCAGATGCAATAAAAAATTCTACTTTTTCTAAATCTTTAATAACACCACACTTCTTTGAGAAGAGGAAAAAATTGAAAATTAATCAACTTCAGCAAGTGTCCTTAAAGGAGTTTTCCTACAACTGAGAGGACATTCACCTTCTATGAGCAATTCTCTGTATTGACCCTGTTTCTTCCATATCTGTATCTGGTCCTTAAAGGTGGGCTAATGGGCCATGCAGCACCACTGGGGGCCTGAAGGAATGTGGCTGTGGCAAGATGAAGCTGGGATCAAGACAGAATACACAGGGACCCCCGGTAAAGATAGAAGGTTGTACATCTTCTCTTTCTGAATATTTGGGTACAAAGGAATTTTTAAAAGAGGCTACACCCACAAAGACAAAGAGGAGGGGGAAGAGGCGATGGTACCATGGGATTTGGAAGGCAGATGAAGGAGTGACTGGATTGGTAAACCTGAGAAAGTGGACACGGAAGCACCACAGAACCTAGAAGGGCTCTAGAGTTGGCGGCAATAACATCTGTTAAAGTGGAGGTGAAGGTGGGCTGAAAACAGGAAAATAGGTTGAAAATCGAGAAAACATTTAGATTTTCCTATCCCTTCCACTACAGCAGAACACTGAAGGTTAATCCTCTGAAAGGGATGAACCAGGAACTCTGGGTTGCAAGTCCCTCCTTTAAGCCCAGCCAAAGGGGGGAGTCGGTGTTGAAAACTGGGGGGTAAAACTGATGTCTATATATTAAAAGACCCCCTCAACCCTATTCATCCACAAAGATCTCAGAATGTTGGCAGCCAGACCCATAGCCTTTGGACAACAGATTGGATATTTCTCTCCAACCAGCACAAGAGAAAACATCTAAAGGTACTGCAGTAGGGGTCCCCCAATGAAACAGCTCAACTAAAGCACCCTATGATTAGTCCACCATTCAGCAGCCCGCCCGCACTCAGAGTACTTAATCAGCTGTTTAGTGGCTCACTCTTAAATATAAATGGACAACCATTCATCAACTATATATGAGAAAGAAGTATGGGAAAACAGAAAATGGAAGCCAGAAAAAGTAGAGGCAAGCAGGAAGAAACTGAAACAAGCAAATAAAAATATATCATTAATGTCTTCAGAGATATATAAGAAGATATTGCATCTACAAAACAAGAATATAATGCTATGGAGGAAGAACATTTGAAGAACAAAAAAGGAGTTATTTAAAACGAAAAGTATGACAACAGAAATGGAAAACTTAGTAAGAGACTTGAAAGGTAAGGATATCTTCAAGAAAGTCAGCTAGAAGACAAAGATGGCGGGTAGAAAACTATAAACATTAAAAGATCAAAGTATGAGATCTAAAATCTGAGTAATAAGAGTTCCAGAAAAAGAGGACAGAGAAAATGGATGGTGAAATGAGCAAATACAATATTTAGAAAACTTCCCACAAGTGGAGGGCTTGTGTTTCTAGATTGAAGGAACAACACAGTGCCTAGTACAATAGATTTAAAACACACACACACAAAACCCCACAAGGTACACCTTCATGAAAATTCAGAACAGAAAGGACAGAGAAGAACCTATAACTTTTCAGAAAGAGCAAGAAAAAATAATAGCAAAAGGTCAGGAATTGGAATGGCAGTGTTAGCATTGTCAATTAAAGGAGACATATATAATACCTTAATCAATAAAGAAAAAAATTAAAAAAGTTCCTTATGGAATAAAAATAAAGCTGCTCTCTAGAAATGTCAATTTCTGTTCTTAATAGTTCCTCATTGGAAGGGGTCTTACTGGGAGTCTAGCATCACTGTCATCTCTGATTTTTAAAACAATCCCAATAAAAATATAATCTAATGAGAGAGAGAGAAAAAAAGACAATGGAGCAACATTTCAAAATTCAGCGTTTAATGTTTCCAATCTGTAATTCTATTCCCAAGCAGATTGCCAATCAAGAGTGAAGACAGAAGCCCGGTTGGCATGGCTCGGTGGTTGAGCGTCAACATATGAACCAGGAGGTCATGGTTTGATTCCCAGCCAGGGCACATACTTGGGTTGTGGGTTCAATCCCCAGCGTGGGGCATGCAGGAGGCAGCCGATCAATGATTCTCTCTCAGCATTGAGGCTTCTATCTCTCTCTCCCTCTCCCTTCCTCTATGAAATCAATGAAAATATATTTTTTAAAAAGTGTTGGAATTAACCCCATTTACTTAAAAAAAGAGTAAAGATAGAAAAAGATATACTAGTATTCAGACACACAAGTTCTCAAAAAGTTTGCCTCCAGTGTACCTTGTTTCTGGGGGAAAAAAGTGTACCTTTTCTCTCTCAAAGAGGAAGTTATGAAATCTAGGCAACAGAAATCTAACACAGGAGCAAGGTGAGGATCCCCAGACGATGGTGAAAGGAGAAATCAGAATGACAGCCGTGCAGCTGTCCAGACTAGAGCAGAACTAGGGGCCCCAGGAGACACAGCTCCCAGAATATGAAACTCAGGGAATATCTACTGGGGCTCAATGTGTTTAGAGGAACTTGACACTTGAGGTGAAGAGTTTGGAGATGAATTAATGGCAGGTACATGAAGAGCTAAGCAAATGGACAAAGAACACAAGTATTCACTCCAAGGAAAATAGAAATAGAAAGGATTTGTAATCATTATATACTTCAAGACTCAGCTTTGTATTGTTTACTCAGCTTGGGGTTGTGTTTAATATAAACAATGACATCACAAATATGATGCTACAAATGATGCATGGGTTGTGACATAATTTTAGTGGGAATGGGTTAGTGAAGGTAAATGAAAGAGGGCTAACTCCTTTTATTCCTCTGTATGTCTGAATGTTTATGAACCTGTCAAATTCATATGTTGAAATCCTAATGCCCAATGGTATTAGGGGCAGGGCCTTCAGAAGGTGCTTAAGTCACGAGGTTGGAGTTCTCATCAACGGTATCAATGCACCTATGAGAGAGACCCCACAGACTCCCTTGCTCCTTCCACCTGCAAGGACACAGCGAGAAGCATCAGCTAGAACCAGAGCGTGGGTTCTCACCAGACACTGAGTCTGCTTGTGCCTTGACCTTGGACTTCCAGTCTCCAGAACTGTGAGAAATAAGTCTGTTGTTTATAATCCACCCAGACTGTGGTATTTTGTTTTAGCAGCCTGAACAGACTAAGACAGAAATTAATAGATAACACTTAAAATTTTTTAAAATGAATAAGTAGCAGAGTGTGAAAGAAACCGCATACCAAAATATATGTACTGTGTAATCCCATTCATATGAAATTCCAGAACTGGCACAACTTGGCAATGGTGATGGGAGGTCAGAGGAGTTGTTACTCAAGGGCAGGGGTATTGAATGGAACAGAACATGGGAGAATGTTCCGAGGTGAGGATAGTGATCTATATTTAGATCTGGGTGTGATTACATGGCTGTACAGGAATATAAACATTCATCAAGATTTCAGATTTATTGGTATAAGCCTTACAGTATGCATTTTTTACCAATAAAAAAAGGAATAAGAAAAAAGAAGCAGAAGGAAGCATGTGCTTTAATGATATAGAGCAGTGGTCGGCAAACTGCGGCCCCTTGAGTGTGGCTCTTCCACAAAATACCACATGCGGGTGTGCACGTACAGTGCGATTGAAACTTTGTGGCCACACTCAAGGGGCCAAAGAGCTGCATGTGGCTCGGGAGCCACAGTTTGCCGACCACTGACATAGAGAAAACACAAGAAAGAGGGGGAAATGACAGTGGTTGCCCCTCGGAAGGAGAGTGGCGATAGGGGCAGGGACTGATATTTTTAATAAGCCTTGTAGAATTATTTGACTTTATTAAATTATGTTTGTGCATAACTTTTATTTTTAAAATGCTAAAAAAAGAAAAAATCAATTGTGCGCCCACCACACCCTGCCAGGTGGGGCACCGTATCAGTTAGAAGAGGACTTGTCTGGCAGATGCCATTCCCTATCTGCAGGGCTGACTTAAATGGACCCAAGACCGAAGAGACCTCAGAAGCTGTGACGTGGGAAGGGCTGGTGCCACCTAGGCAATAGCTTTGGTGCCAGGGGCTTAGAGGTCAACCAATGGAGGACAGTCCATGCAGGGCAAGGGGCACTGTCCACGGGCTCTTGCTGCTTGGTACAGGGTGTGGCAGTGCCTCCTGGAAACTCCCCAGGAGCCTGGCATGCAGGCAACTTTCTCTGCTATGCATGACCAGGCCCAGAGAGCAGCGTCCAGTGCCCTTGGCTGCTGAGTGACAATCTACAATTGGGCTCAGACTCACAGGATTAATACTGAGCAGGACAGGCGGGAGCAGTGGCCTCATCCACCCGGCTGCCCCCACCTCCTCACCTCGAAGGTTTCGGATGAAATCCTCCAGCATCATCTTCCGGTCAGGCTTAATGTTGGGGCTGTACATGTCGGTGTTGAGGAGGATGATGGCAAAGGCCAGGATGAAGATGGTGTCAGGGTTGTGGAATTGCTGCACCACCTCGGGGTTGCACATGCAGTAGCGTTGGCTGTGGTGGGGGACACAGAGGGGAGGCTGAGGCCTCTCCTCAAACTCCCCTCCAGCAAGGGGGACTGTGGGGGCAGGAATCAGGCTCTCTGCAGGCCTTAGGTCCGGGCAGCTCCCTTCCTTTCGCCCCCCGCCCCCCCGCCTGCCCCATCCCACAGCCCCTCACACTCCGAAGCCTGGTCCTCTTCCCTTCTGAGGGGACAGGGCAGGTGTCAAACAGCCACGGATCCCACCACACCAACCTTGCACTGATGTTCATTAAAGATCTGCTTGTTGTGGGATGAGTGAAATGCACACAGGCCCCTGAGAGTCCAGTGCTGTTCCAGCTTGGAGAGCTCGAGGGCTCTATCCCTTTTTTCTCCCTTCCTCCTTTCTACTAGCCCACCTCTGCCACCTCACCAGGAGGGCTTCTCCCAGCCCCCAGGCCCACAGCAGCTCTCCTTCTCCACCCCACCTCTCCCACCCAACCTCCCTAGGTGTGTGTTCTGAAGTGTATGAGGGAGGGGCTGCAGAGGGTGTCCTACCTGAAGGCCTCTATCAGCCGCTCCACTTTCTGGGCCTCCCCCTGCACGCGGATGTGCGCCTGGAACTTGCGCAGGGCCTCGTCCAGCTCCATGCCAGAGAAGTCCATCTCATCCACCACGCAGCTGAGGCGGCGGGAGGAGGGACATGAGGAAAGGTTGGGCCCACACTCCCCCTTCACACTGGAGCTGAGAAAGGTGCAGCCACCAGTGGCTGGAGGACCCCACCCTGCTGGGGTGAGGGAGCCACTTTGTTCCCTGGGACCTCCGAGGCCTTACTCACCCTGAGGGGCTCCCTTTAATAACCCAAGAGACCCTTTCCCAGAACTCTCATCTAACACAATGGTCTGTGAGGCAGATGGCTGACTGTTGTCTCCACTTCACAGCTAAGAACCTGAGGCCCAGAGAGGCCAGCAGGTTGCCCAGGTCACAGAGCTAGGAGGAGGCTGAACCTCCAAAACCCAGGTCCTTTCTTCTCAAACTCAGAGCGTCTCAGATGCAGATGAAGGTTTAAGACGTGCAATTCACTCTCCTAGTCTTCAGAGATCTGCTGGGAGAGTGCATGTCTCCCTTGCTTCCTCTTCCAGGTCCCATTGGGGTTTCTGGTGAAGGGACCCCCTCCTGCACCGCCCTCCCATGGGCTCCCAGGTCCTTCCTTTGCAGCCAAGGAGCCCCAGCGCTCAGGGGAGCTGTGGCCACTGGAAGGAAATGACATATCATCTTAACGTGGGAGGGGACAGTGTGGAAAGCACAGCCACCCTGGGCCTGGGCCCAGCACTGAATCTTTTGTGACTTTAGTTCACAGACTCACCACTTGGAGCCTCAGTTTCTTCTGAGAAGAAGGAGGTCAGAGTCCTGCTCCCCAAGGCCCCCCCCCCCACCTCTTAATGCCACCTCTAACCTTGGAGAGTTTGCCTCTGATGTTCCCCTTCGGTGTGTGGGAGAGAAGTGGGCGGGGGGAGAGCGGCGGCGGGGTTGGGGGGAACATGTGCCAATCACCACCACGAGGCAGTCTCATTCTTTTGGCTTGGGCTGCTCCTGGAGGGTCATGCCTCCTGTCCACTGGGTCATGCTTTTCCTCTTTTGTGGAGACTGTCCCCTGGGCCGTGAGAGCAAGGTGGGAATCTAGGCCTGGCTCAGCGCAGACCTAATTCTCCTTGAGCTTACACATGCTAACAAGGCTCTTGGAGCTGATTCTTCCACTCCCGCACCCATGCTCTACTCCAATTCTCTCTCCCAATCATTCTATACCCAGCCCCTCGCTGCCCTCTGGAGGTGAACAGCCCCCTCTCTGCTCCCACAGCCCCTGGAGACCCCGCCACAGGGTCAGGACCCCAGGCATCAATGCCCCCTCACTGCTGTCTGCCAGTCCATGGAGGGCTCGAGTCCAGCGTGTGGCTCAGGGCCCAGCATGCCGACGGACTCAGGAGCGTGGCTATCTGAGTGCAGGGATGAGCCCTGAGCAGACACCACTCCCGCCATCATCCTGGCTCCAGTGTTGAGTCTGATGCTTATGCAGAGATCCCGCCTACCCCGGCTCTGCTGTCAATGTTTAGGAGAAAGAAAGGGGACATGCCCACATGGTGGTGGTCATGGATAGTCTCCCCCCACTCCTTTCAGGGGAACCAAAGGGAGGAGAGCACCAAGGACTTCCTCAGAGGGAAGGGCTGGTAGGGGCTGTCCTTCCCCCACCCTCCAGGGCAAGGAGGATGCCATCTCACGCTGGGAGCCTGCCCTCGGCTTGGTCAAACCCAGCCTTCTCTCAGGCTTGTCCATCTGGATAGTGAGTCAGAGGATGGGGCTGGGAGCAGGAGGCAAGAATTTGGCCCAAGCATGAGAATTGGCAATGTCAGTGTCTGAGCATTTGAGACGGACAACTGGGTAGTAGGCCCCCCAGGTTCAGCCTGATTTCTTAGCAGCTCTTGTCGCCTCCTCCTGATCCCTTCCCACTGGAATGTGAGCTCTGAGGTCAGCATCATAGGGCCCACATCTGAATGTCCCCGTAGCCCTGTCTGGTCAGGTGTTACAAATCCAACACGATTGAGCCATACAGGGATGCCGCTGTCTGGAAGAGGTGAACCAGACAGGAGAGGGAGGGAGGAATAGAAGGGAGGAGACAGAGACACAGAGGACACAGAGAGTCAGTGAGAGAAACAGAGAGAACATGGAGTGAGAGACAGAGGGAGACACACAACGAGAGGCGAGGAGATGAAGAGAGAGAGAGACAGACAAACAAGGGGGAGAGAGAGAACAAGAGACAAACAGAAACAAGGGGAGACAAAGAAGGGGTGGGGGGAATGAAGGAGGGGGAGAGGGAGGCAGGAGAGGTGGAGGTGGAGGAGGAAGAGCAGACAATGACAGGACAAGACAGAGGCAATGAGGGGAGGAAAACAGCAAAGACGGGACCTGGTGGGCCTCGGCGTGAAGTGGCAGTGGGTGGGGGATGGGAGGTCTTGCAAGGCCAAGGGGAAGGGCATTGAACCCCAGCTTGGCCAACCATGCCTGTGGGGCCTGCCTCCCTGGTGGACTCCAGAATGGCCCCTGGTTCCCCTGGTCTGGCATCTTGGTGCCCTCCAGGACCACTTGTCCCTGTGGTCCATCTACCTACTCCTCACCCGGCCCTGACCTCTCCCTGCAGGCCTCTGAGGTCCTGGCACAGTGCACCCCTCACAGTGTCCCTCCCAGAGCCTCTGTGCATGCGTCTTCTGGTCCAGGCCTCACCCCTGAGGAGGAGGGTGGGTGCCCAGAGGTCCAGGCACTGCAGTGGACAGAGGAGGCGGTGGAGCAGCTGGGAGAGGGTGGGATCTGCTCAGCGAAGCACGATGGCCTAGTTTCCAGCCCTTCACTCAGGTGACACGAAGCCGGCTCACTTGCTCTCAGGGCTGCAGCTAAAAGCTCCAGTAATGAGCCCAGAGCCTGCAAGTCAAGGACTGGGACAGAGACGCAGCTGGTGGAAGCACCAGCCACGATGGGGAGCGCTGCATAAATCAGTCACGGCCACGGGGGAAGACACCTGGGCCGTGGGGCAGACAGTCTACATCTCACACCTATGAAAACCCCGCTGAAGGAGGCTTGTTAAATGTAGATCCCTGAACCCTACCGCAGATCTACCGACTAGAATATCTGGAGGCAAGGCCTGGGAATCAGCATCCTTCAAAGATTCTTTAAAAATTAAAACTGATAGCTGAGCTGAGTGCACAGGTAGGGGGATCTGGCCCGTGTAGAAGCTTTTAAAATGTTAGTCCAGCAGCTCACAGGCCAACAGGCAACAGCTCATGGGGGCACATGTGTCCCCATCAGTTCTCAGGGGCTGCCTTTGCAGTGAGGGTGGTGAGGGGGGACGATGGAGGTACAGACAGAGGCAGTCCCCACCACACACACATTCATGCTTCCTCCTTGCCGCTGCCACCACGGGGCCGCAGTGGTTAATGGGTAGCTCGTGTCCTGGCGTTCTCGGATCCCAGGGGGGGAAATATCAGTGTTTTCTGTGAAACCCCCAGATGGCAGCAAGAAGCCGTGCTGCAGAGGGGAAAGGCACTATCACCTCCAGCAGACAAACGTTTTCCTCTCTGCGGAGCTGGCGTGGGGCCAGGCAACCTCCCAATCTGACAACCTCTGACAGGACAGCCATTCTCTAGGCTCTGCAGACGCTCCCGGATAGCAGGAGAGGCATCATTTCCGGCAGGCTTTGGAATACAGCTCACGATGACTGCTTCTTCCCACGCCTCCCAGAGAACCATCACTTGCCTTCCTGGTGAGCCTGTGCCTCCTGGGGCAGGTGGCTGTGCTCTCTAACAAGCCTGCTCTGGTGGGACCTCACCTCTGGGGTCTCCATCATCCTGGGATCATCCATAATCCTTGCCCGGCCCCACAGCTTGATTGCTTTCTCACCTCCAAAGTAGAAGCGTGGACCTGCACCTTGACTTCTGCTATCTCTCCTCTCCTCTCACCTTTTCCATCGCTTCTCTTATTTTGCAGTATCTACCAGCACTTAGAATCTCCCTCTCCCTGTCCTCTTTGCCACCCTCGAATTCTTGTGGGGAGCAGATCGTTGACAGTTTTCCAAATCCTTTCTGCTGCCTCCACCCAGGACAACCAACTAACACTTCTTCTCTTAGATCATCTTTAAGGTGAAAAATATCACATGTTTCTGGGTGGTATTTTTTTGATGTATGATCTCCCCATTTTATAGAAGGCAAAACTGAGACCCCAAAGGGGCTTGCTCCATGCTCCCGCCACTAGGAAGAGCAAGTATCTGGCTCCCTGCTTGTGAGCCTCTCCGCACCCCTGGGCCCTCTCTCCTTCACAGGGGGTCCTAACACTAGTGGGGAAGCGCCTCTGTGCTCTCACTTACTGAACACTGCTCTTAGTGCCTCACTAAGTGCACAATGACAATCTCCTCAATCCTGTGCGATGTTAATTATCCTGTTATTTTTATTACATACAGGAAAGTGACACTCACAGGAGAGCTGGCCCTGCAGGGAGACTGCATGCATCCAATTCCAGGGCCAGGCAAACCTGCCCCTCCCCCTCTCAATGTCTGATGCTAATGTGTCTCTCCCTTGGGGCTGCTCCCTTACCCAGGTGCCTGATGGGAGCTATGACGGGACAAGGGGGGACAACTGGCCACAGCCATAGAGTCATGTGTGAGGAGCCACTTCTCATGCAGTCAGCATGAGGCTGTGTGACTACCCTGCAGTTTCAGAGCTCGCCTGGGCACACAGCCCACGGCAGGGGCTAAATCCTTGCCCTCCTACCGTCCCCTTTCTGGTCTGCCCTCCATCTTTCCCTCACTCCCTTCTACTCCCCTCTCTCCCTCCCTCAGTCCTTCCCTCTTTTCTTTCCCTTCCTTCCAACAAATATGCATTTAGTGTCTCCTGTGTGCCAGACACTGTGCTAAGGACTTGATATAAGTGTAACACAAACACAGATCCTGTCCTGATGAAAGAAACAAATGGAGTTTGAAATAATTATTTCATTATAATTGTGATCAGTCATATGTAGGCAAAAGACAGGTTCCATGAGAGGACAAAGGAGACATATTTTATACTGGTGTGTTAAGAAAGGCCTCCTTGAGTACATGACATTTGAGCTGAGATTGGAAGATGAGTAGGAGCTGACCAAGG